TTGCGAAATTACATAGCAAGCTTATATAGACGATACTTGTTTCTACGATTTAATTGTCCGCATAGGAACTTTAAGCACAAGTGTCCACATGCAACAGTATCGTACTGCTGATATCGCTCGTAATTGTACTTTACACTCCCAACAGCGAGATATCCGATAAGATCTAGCGGCGGTCGAAGATTGCCGAAACTGTCGAAATAAACGACTCGATCGTTCAGCTTCTTGTACGCGACCCAGTGTGTTCCTGGACCATCTTCGTCGTCGAGATTGACGATTGCCGACTCGTACTTGTACGGTCCACCCTTCGGCATAGCGTTCCGCATGAAGACTCCGCGAAAATGTGGAATCTTCATGATCTTGGCGTACTTTAGCAGATCCGCATCGGTCAGCGCCCGGCGTGGTAGTTTCACTTCAAGTTTTTTGGCTTCAGATGAAGGCCTAGTCCTTTTTTGTAGGGTTTCAAATACAGTCTCTTTGCTAGTTTCGTACCAGGCCCGCAGTAGTGATAACCGGGTATATGTAACTCAACGGGTAGACTGTTGATGATCCTGTTGACTAGTCCTCTGCCACGATGAGATTTTTTCTTCCCAATGCGTTTACGCTTAGAATGCACGATCATGTCCCTGCGGTGAAACAGTTCCGACTGATCACTGATCCTTATAAACTAGTCATTTATAGGTTCCACATTAGTCAAGATCGAGATGAGGTTCGAGAAACAGTCGGCCAGGCTACCTGTAACGAACTTTGACAAAATCGTGCGAGTAAAGGAGAAGAAGGAGGTCAAGCGACACGGCGAATGACTGCTAGGCAGTATACGTGCAGTGTTTTGCGGACCATCCAATTGCGGCAAGACGAACGCACTGCTCGCTCTCATAACCCATCCCAACGGATTAAGATTCGAAAACGTCTACGTATACTCAGTATCGCTTGATCAGCCAAAGTACAAGTTTTTAGAACGTTTACTCGCATCCGTGGACGGCGTCGAGTACTTTCCCTTTACGGAACACGAACAAGTGCTGCCACCTAACGAGGCACGTCCAAACTCGATAATTAGTTACGACGACAATGCCGGCGAGAAGGAAGATAACATTAGAGCCTTCTTCAGCATGGGACGGCACAGGGACGTTGACTGTTTCTATCTCTGTCAAACGTACGCTCGCATTCCCAAACATCTGGTACGGGACAATGCTAATCTGCTGGTGCTCTTTAAGCAGGATGAAATGAATCTCAAGCATGTTTACGATGACCATGTAAACACTGATATGACTTACGCACGGTTTAAAGACCTGTGTTCGGCATGCTGGAACGGTGATAAGTATGGGTTTCTCGTGATCGACAAGGACAGCGACCTCGACGGAGGTAGATACAGAAAAGGATTCGATTGCTTCGTGAGCATAAATGAGTGATCATTGAAAAAAGTGAATGCAGTAACGTTTTGGATTCGGCAGCGAAAACACGCAACGCGGAAAACTTCGGGAGCAAAAAGACGTTTTACGCCAAATCGCTAAAGCCAGCGATGCGATTCGCAAAAAGCATAGAATGCTAAAATTGGGTAGAGAGAACGTCGAACAGACGATGAGTGAGGTTTTGAAACCGGTAGTGACTCCACTGCAGAAACTAGTGACTGCATCTCGGCCTGAACGTAATCTTATCAAGGACGAGATTAAGGATGAAGTAAAGCAAGACGTAGAAGCGGATGATACGTTTAGATCAGCAGATGAACCCTTCAAGTCGCTAAAGAATGATTCTTTCGAAGAAGAAGAAGAAGAAGGTAAACATGATGACGAAGATGAAGGAGATAACGATGACGCAGACGTATCCGTTAATCGGAATGATCCTACGCAACGGTATCTCGATATGCTGCAATCGAGGGAGAATAAACAATTGGATACCGCCTATGGTGTGCGCAAACTCGCCAAGAACAAATTGATGATAGGCGATTCGCCCATCAGCTTTAAGGGTGATCGAATCCATGTAGGTGACACGACTTACTGGAAAACTGCGGGTTTGATCGAACTCTTGTTCAGGAAGGTACCTGATGAGACTAGTATAACCCAGGATGACATGGACAATTACAAAAACGCTTTGAGGGTGATCGAATCCATGTAGGGTGAAGGCACCAGTAAATGAACGATTAAGGAACAAGCTCACTTTAAAACCGATTTTCTCAATAACCATAAGTACTAGACCTGTGAAATGATTTCCATTCAATACAATATATTATAAGCTATAAAAATCAATCAATTAAATATTTTTTTAGGTTCAGGAAGTATATAAAAGAAAATATTAACAGTGATAATGCAGGATTCACCAGTAACTGAACACGTTGAACCGATTAATGAACAGTCTTGACACCAGTAAATGAACAGCCGAAAACCAATAAATGAACAATACTTTCTCATTGCATAAAATCAAGCAAGGATGTGAATTTAGTTTATTTGTCAGCATTCATATCATATAAATTATCTGTTATCTTTAAAGGTAATAACCATTAAACAGTTTTTCATAGAACTATTATAACAATAAAAAGGAACTTAAATCATATAGAGCATCACTAATTTAACACAGGTGTAGTTTCGTTTTCTTGACTATCTTTACAGCACTCTTCTTTCTCTTAGCACGTCTCGTTCTGACTGATTCGTTTTCTTTTTCCATCGAATTATCTTGTACCACACGAGCGTCTAAACAACTCGGTATAGAATGAGATTCATCTTCTTCTGCCTGGACCAAATGAAGTGGTACTGGCGATACTGCTAAATGAAAGCGAATGTCTTCGGTCGAGTTTTTAATTGAGTCCGATATATTCGAGACTTGTGACTTCTTTTTTCTGGCGGACTGAAATTTTTCTCGTAGTTCCTTTTTTACTTTAATTATTTTTGCAGCCTTTTCGTTGTTTTTCCTTTTTTCTTCTATGATCGTACGTTTTTCTGTGGCGATTCGTTGTTTCTCTAATAATGCGGATTGCTTTCTCTCTTCAACTTCTTTCCACTCCTTAGAAGTAATTGCGAAGAGTAGCTTCTTCGTGGGCACTTTCCGTTTACCTCTTCTTTGCTCGCCAATCTTTGGCCAATGTAAATGTGCTTTCCAAATATCGTTCTGAGCACTATTCCCTGATTTTTTGTCAGACGCTGCCACAACAACTACGTTACTCATTACGATCGGCAGTTTTCGCTTAACTGTTGCTGTATTTTCTTTTTCCGCAACCGTTTCAGCTAAGTCTTTATTAAGTTGTTCCGTTTTAATTAGTACGTTAGTTTTAACAGCTGACTGCAGCAAGAGGGGTTTCTTTCTCTGATTCGTCTCATTTTGCTTTGCAGCATCTTCATTCACAGTTTCAAGTGGCTTTATCGCGAGCATCGAAGTTTCGATAATATTCGAAAAATTAGGCTCTTCGAAAATTAGGGCTTCGTTTGAAATACCTGTTAATTTCAAATCAACATCGTCTGCGATAAACTCAATGGGTATATCCAATTCCTGAGTTTTTTCGAATGTAACACAATTCTCGATCCCTGGGATCTGCTCTGTCACGACACTGGTTAGCTCTAATTCATGTCCTCTTTGCTTCGTGCACAGTTCCGTGCACAGTTTCCACACTTGAAATAAGGAATCTTCGCAATCATTGCTTTCCTGATGAATTTTAATGAAACTGTTAGTTTCTTTCGGTCCTAGGGTGTGTTCAATGACTTTCTTGGTGATCGCGTATTCTTCCGACGTAGGCTTAACCGAAAAAGCCGTCGCGTTTTTTATACTCTTATGTCTTTCCGAAATACACTTGGAGTAATCGATCGCATCAGGATTAAATGGGAAGAGTCCACATGCTCTTAAACCGCTCACAATTGTTTCTAGTTTAACTGATTCGTCGAATGCTATTTTGAACAGCGGTACGAAGTTCGATTTAGTAATTGTTTTTATGGATTCCTGCTTGCGCGATCTCACAATCTTTCTCCAACACTCTTTCAGTGGACGGAATATCGAGACATCGCACGGTTGCATTATATGCGTTGAATTCGGTGGTAGACAGTAAACGATAATTTGCTTCTCAATACAGAATGTACACAATTCGAGACTCAGATGTGACTTGTGTCCGTCGAGGAAAAGTATGTCGGGAAACTGTATATTCTTTTCCACTAGGAATGGGTAAAACACATTTGCCACGTACTCATAAAAAGTACTGGACACCATCCATCCAGAATCGGAGCGCCCAATAGCCCATCCATCCGAAAGTGAATCCGCTATGTGGCCAGGAATCGTCTTGTATGGGAAGATCACCATAGGAGGCGCTACTTCTCCGTTGGCAGAAAATGTGCACAAGACCGTGATCGATTCTTTCTCTGGGCCACTAGCGATTTCGTACAAATTTTTAAACCCCTTCGGACCGAGGACAACTCCCGTCTTTGGACATGTCTGCATTCCTATTTCATCACAATTAAATATCCGTCTACCGTCTTTCAGTAGGTCAGCTACTCTTTCTTCTTCGATGAAATTGACTACTTCGGCAAACCACAAGCGAATTTTTTCTTCGGTAACAGCAGCTCTCGCTTTAGAGATATTTCTGTTTCTTTTCACTATTTCCGGTTTCCGTTTTAAGAACAAGGACATTCACTTCTTACCAGGCCTACTATCAACGAATGGATTATCTCGCTTAGCGTCGTTCAGAACATTTTGTACTGCGTCTTTCACCACTTCCGGGTGCATCGGAAATCCTACTTTTGCTTTGTCAATTATCCACTTTTCACGTCTCGCTTCTTCTTCTTCTGCCGTTAGTACAGTCTTCGGACCCATCTTTCGATTCACAGGTACTTTCCCTGTTAATTTGTTGTGAAGAGTTCCTTTTGGAATCCTGTACTTCATCGATGCACGGCATGGGGTTAATTAATTGCTTCGTATTTCATATAAAGCTTTATTCAGGTCTTCTTGGCTGTATTTGAATTTCTGGTACGCTGATTTTACCATAACTGTACTGTCCGACATCTGTTTGAAACGAAATAAACTAAAACTTAATATCTCTGGAGTTAAAACGGTTCACATACAAATCTTGATTAAAGATAATATTAAATATCTGTATTAGAAAATAATTTACCTAGGTACATACAAAAATAAATAACAGTCGTTCATTCATTGGTTTCCATCGATACCTGAGGAATCTAATAAATGAACATCTCTGTTCATTCATTGGAATACCAGCTTCTCTAGATCCAATAATTGAATACCCTGAATATAGAGGTATTTTGAGGTTATGAATTACGAAAAATTTGCGAAATGAAAGGTTAAATCGCCAATTTGTCGGAGATAACGATATTGTTTCTTAATAGATACTTCTTAACTAATTATATATCCTGACAGTAACTAGTGCAAACAGCCATACCTACTATATCATTTGATACGAATCCGCGTCCTCTGCAATCGTCTGATGACGGCACGCCACGCGCGAACTACATTTGTGGGATGAACTTAATATTTACCTACGATATCGATGTATAAATTCCACAAAAAAAGGGTATCAAAATATGCATCTATACACTATTATCCGTAAAAACAGTGATCTGTTCATTTACTGGGGATTGTTCAATTATTGGTGCCTTCACCGTAGGTGATACGACTTACTTGAAAACTGCGGGTTTGATCGAACTCTTATTCTGGAAGGTACCTGACGAGACTAGTATAACCCAGGATGACATGGACAATTACAAAAACATTATTTGAACGACGAATTCACATAGAAAGTACTATAAACCTGATGGTGAAATTCGTAAGAGCAAGAGTTTCAAATTTAATAACGTTATTGCAAAACTGATCGAACAGCCCTCTGTAACGGGCCAAGGTATAGTACCGCGGTACATGATCGCTGCCAAGGACAAACGAACGGATTACGTGTACTGGGACAATCCGAACGAACTGGTAGACCGGCTTCGCCTGCTCCTTGCGTCTCGGGAAGCTGGTAACCCCAGTCACTCGAACGAAATCGTATCGATTATCGAAGAATTGCGCAAGGCGGGTATCATTTATTAATTCGATAAAACGATCGCGATCGCCACTTTGAATATGAGTGTCGACGTGTTTGGACGTCAGTTGAGTAGCAGGACCGCGGTTACGAGTAGCCGTGGTCTCCCTGGCGCTGGATTCAAATTCACTGCTGCTGGGCACTACGACATTGATAACAAGAAGCTTTGTAACGTCGCCAATCCTGAGGAGGAAAACGATGCTGTGACCTTGAATCTGATGAAAACTGTAGTGAAGCAGGAGCTGAATACCGTGTTTCACGTGACTGCCGGAATGCGCAATGATATCGATAACAACAACTTGATGATTCAATCTCTAGATTCTACTACGAAGGATGCGCTGAAACGTCTGCAAGCTGATATCGAGCCAGGACAAGAATTGGCAATTCGCAACTCTCTGATCATTTCCCAGCTGGACGCCAGACTGAGTGCGCTGGAGAATGGATGGAAAAAAGTCAGCGGTGGTGAAGGAACTGCATAGACCTGCCAGGAGAAATTACCAGCGCCGGCACGTAGACATTCGTGGATTGGACGAGACTTGGCAAGCGGATCTCGTTGACATGTCAGCGTATGCCAGAGAGAACCACGGATACAAGTATCTGCTTACCGTCATCGACACTTTTCAAAGTTTGCTAGGGCCGTGTCTCTGCAAGCTGTAATCGAGCCAGGACAAGAATTGGCGATTCGCAACTCTCTGATCATTTCTCAGCTGGACGCCAGACTGAGTGCGCTGGAGAATGGATGGAAAAAAGTCAGCGGTGGTGAAGGAACTGCATAGACCTGCCAGGAGAAATTACCAGCGCCGGCACGTAGACATTCGTGGATTGGACGAGACTTGGCAAGCGGATCTCGTTGACATGTCAGCGTATGCCAGAGAGAACCACGGATACAAGTATCTGCTTACCGTCATCGACACTTTTCAAAGTTAAAGGAACTGTATAGACCTGCCAGGAGAAATTACCAGCGCCGGCACGTTGATGCCCGTGGATTTGACGAGACTTGGCAAGCGGATCTCGTTGACATGTCAGCGTACACCAGAGAGAACTGCGGATACAAGTATCTGCTCACCGTCATCGACATATTTTCAAAGTTTGCTTGGGCCGTGCCGACCAAGAGCAAGAACGCTAAAGACGTAACAACAGCTATGAGATCTGTACTGGCGAAGGGTCGAATTCCGAAGAAATTGCATGTTGACCAAGGCCGAGAGTTTTACAATTCCGAATTCAAGGATCTTATGCAAAAGCACGGTATTACCCTGTACTCGACGTTCAGTAACTTGAAAGCATCGATCTGCGAGCGCTTTAATCGTACGCTGAAAAGTAAGATGTGGATGCAGTTTAGCCTACAGGGCAATTACCGGTGGCTGGATATCTTATCGGACGTGGTATCCTCTTACAATAACAGTAAGCATCGTACCATTGGTATGAAACCGACGGATGTGACTGATCGTAACGAGAAGGATCTACTACAACGGGTGTACAAGAAATTCAAAGTCAAGACCACACTTAAACGACCAAAGTTTAGCCGTCAGATGTGACTGCTCGTAACGAGAAGGAACTACTACAACGGGTGTATAATAAATTCAAAGTCAAGTCCACACTTAAACGATCGAACTTTAAAGTCGGCGACAAAGTACGAATCAGCAAATTTAAACACGTTTTCGACAAAGGCTATACACCCAATTGGACGACTGAAATTTTCACGATAAGTCGAGTGAAGAATACCGATCCAGTGACGTACAATCTCAAGGACTACCAGGATCATCCCATCGAAGGCGGCTTCTACGAGCATGAACTTACCAGCGTCAAGTATCCCGACATATATCTTGTGGAGAAGATACTGAGGAAACGTGGAAACAAGCTATTTGTGAAATGGTTAGGTACAATGGTTAGGTTAGGACAAGGTATGGAAATGGATAATTTTTTTTTTCAGAAGAAGACTATGATTAAAGAAACTATCATATTTTTTTCATTTTAGAACATCTACTGCTACTACTGATACTAATTCTGCTGCTGCTGCTGCTGCTATAGTCAAATGAAATATTCATAATTGAATGTATGCAATATCATGAAAATAAAAAAAAAAACAATTCTACTGTTACTACTGTGACTACTATACTACTACTACTGCTGCTGCTGCTGCTGCTGCTGCTGCTGCTGCTACTATTGTTGTTCACATTACTGTAAAACCAAAATATTATTTTGTTATAATCGAATTATATGAATTCTTCAATGCTTACCTTATATTCTTCTAAACCAAATTTGGTTATTTCGTATCTCCTTAATGGCCGTACCGCCATTAATGTCAATTATGCACAAAATATGTTGGAGCGCGCTGCTCATTCTTAGTGCATTTTCAACGGCTAGTCGAGTGCTCTGTTGTAAACTGTTTTGCACCCATTCAATGGGTACAAATACGACAGGCAGTATTTGAACATAAAACTTCTCGGCCATTTTTGAACTGAGTCGTAGCGGTTGCAAGCGTCATTTTTAAAGCGTGCTCCATACCTCTACCTCTCTATGTGACAAAGAGTGTGAGCGACTTCTGAGAATTATTTATTAAGATAACGCATAGAAGGAACAATCCAGATGGTTAGGATCTGCTAGCATTGAAGGATCAAGTGATATGCAATAACGTAAAGCACACGTTGTCTTTATTTGTACATTACATCTTATACAATTACATTATACAGGGTGAGGCGCGAGAAACAGAACACCTAAATAACTTTATTGGATTTAAAGATACGGAGTTCGCAAATATCGGAATTTAAATGATTCGGAAGGGCGCCCATGGCTATCATAATATTTTTTTTT